AGAGGCATTTAATGCCTTTATATATTTATTTTTAAAAATATTTTGAAAAAAATAAATTTTATTAAATTTAAAGATAATAATATCAAATACAAAAATGAAAACCAAAATGGTAATTATCAAAACCTATTCCCTTTATAGATAATAATATTAAAGAGATCGAGATACTTTATGCTTCTAATAATTATACACAAACAGAATATTAAAAAATTACATGTAATTATTTAAAAAGATATAAGAATTTTTTTTTTACATTTAAGGGTATAATGGTCCACTAAAAAATTGAGACTAAAAGCAATTAGATACATATCTCCCTTATAATAAGTATAGATAAATAAATATCATTTTTTTTAAAACAATTAAATTCTCTATAATTATTTCACTCGTTATTATGTAATGTTTATAAACTTATAACTATTTCTCTCTTCTATGTTAAGACAAATATTAAACTGAGTATATTCTTTTTATTTATGTTTTATTTTTTATTCATAAAATATGTAGAGGCATGTTAGGTAAAAAATAATTTTGGATCCCTCAAACTTTCAAGATTTAATAATAATAAATAGAACATTTTTTTAAAGAGAAAATACTTTTGCAAAATATAAAAATCAGACAAAATATAAGATATACAAAAATTTAGACAAACAATGTGTCATCAAACAAAATATATAATCTTACTTCATAAAGTATTGAATGTGTATCATTTATAATAAGTAATGATTACTTTATGTATGACTAATTGGTTCCTTAATATATTGAACAAAGAAAACTCATTAAAATTCACAATCTATTAAAGTAAACGAAGTCATGTTATGTACAAGAAATAAGGACAGGTGAATCCCTAAAATCACCACACAAAAAAAGTCGGTAAAAGTTTATGCAGAACTTGCTTTTTTTTGGCACACATCACAAAAAGTCCATTTGCTATCTTAAAGTTAAAAATCACCACACAAAAAAAGTCGGTAAAAGTTTATGCAGAACTTGCTTTTTTTTTTTGCACACATCACAAAAAGTCCATTTGCTATCTTAAAGTTAATAAGTAGCCGTCTTGATCTAATAAGAAGTGACAATATACAAGCATTTAATGCTTCAACATACATTTCTTATCTCATGAGACTTGTAATGAAGACATACGAAACAAGCTTGTGAAAAAACCTCAAGGTTTTACAAGGATCATCTTCATTAAGACTACTATATATAAGGAACTTCAAAAATACGGGAAAAAAAACTTTTTCAAAAAAAGTCTTGTATAAACCATTATTCATTCTTTTTGTCAAGATATTGTTCTTAATTGGTTGTATCATGTCTTGTTTGTAAGACAAAATAACATCAATTTACACAAATATAACTATTGTTATAGGATTGAGACTGAAGAAACTTGTTTGTTAAAAGAATACTCATTTGAGCATGAAGAGATTAATTAGTAAAAGAATACTTGGTTTGAGTTTGGAGAGGTTTGTTTGTACAAGAATACTCATTTGAGCCTTGAGAGGTTTGACTGTAAAAGAATACTTGATTTTGAAACTTGGAGAGACTTTGTGTTGAAAAAATACTTGGGTAGATTGTTTGAAGAGACAATTCAAAGAACACTTAGGCTTGATCCGAAAGTGGTTTTTTGAAAGAATATTTTTATCCTTTTTAAGATAGTGGAACTCAATTTAATTTGATTGAGAATTGGACGTAGTCTCAATGATTGAGATGAATCGGTATAAAAATTACTTGTATTTTATCTGCCTCTTCTACTATAGTCTTTACTGTTAACATTATTACTTCACTACAAGAAAAAAATGTGAGTTTTTGATAGATATTATTCAATCCCCCTTATAGTGTCTATCTTTTTTCCACAAGTTATGAAATCCACCCCACTAGTCATAACATAAAACAGAAAGTTATAATGAGGACTGAGGATCCATGCACATATTAAACAACTGCAAAGGTTTATAATTAATCCTTCATTTTTTTTCAAATATTTTTGGTGTGAATGTTTAACCCATATTAGTTATTAAATAAAGTAAGTTTACCAAGACCTACTATTGGATTATTAAATTCCTCCAAACACACATATGTTTTGGCAGGCTTATTCTAAGAGCAACTCTTAATAGACTTAATTCACTCAATAATTTATGTTCTATATCAAATTTTAACGATTCAACTATTAAATTAAAATTTATTGATGTATAGATCAAATTTATAATTTTTTAAAAAAATATTAAATGTTACATAAATTCAAATCAACTTATAAAATATTTTTATGATTATTTGTCAATTTGAATTAATGAAACGTATCAAATAATTTTTAATTTTTTTAAAAATATGTAAACTTGACCTATACATTAAGAACATTTAATTTAACGATTGGATTGTTGAAATCTAATGTAGAACATGAGTTATCGAGTGAAGTAAGTTTATCTACACTTACTCTAAGAATAAGTCTTGGTAGACTTATTTCACTCGATAACTAATATTTTATATCAAATTTAAACGATTCAATTATTAAATTAATTTTTTAATGTATAAATTAGACCTATAATTTTTGCGAATTTAAAAATCGATATGAGAGCTCATTGATTCATAGACATGTGTGGTAACATAACATTGCTTAGGGTGACTTTGGAAAGTCTTGACTAAGTGTGGGTAACTCTGTGGCCATTTAATTTTTGTGGAATAGTGTTACTATTTAACAACTTAATTAGTTGATTGCAAATGTCTAAATTGGATCAAGGAGTGTCATATAAATTTGGATATTTTTATATAAAGAGAGATCAAGTTGGTCCAAAAGCAATTCTATTCTCTATTTTCATTTTATTTTTCGTTAATGGTTAAAGGAGAGTTACTCATCGCAACCATTATATAAAATATATATTTTAAATCTAATTGATCATTAAATTAGTTAAAATATTGGTTCAAGATTCAATCATAATTAAATTAATAATAATTGGATAATACATAATTAATATAAAGATAATATCATAATTTTATAATACTAAAAACTAAAATATAAAACATAATTTTATTAATATTTAACATTTAAAATAGAGAAAACATATATAGACAATATAGAACAATTTTATGATGTCATTAAATCACAAATTACTATAGATAAATTTGTTAACTTTTACAATAATTATTTTAAAATTTATATCAATAATAACTTTTTATTACTTGATAATGTAATATTTTTTTATATTAATAGTGTATGACCATTAAATCCTTTATAAATTATAATATATACTAAAATTTAATTCAAATATTAAATATATTATTATAATATTTTTTTTTGTCTATGGATATAATGGAAATAATGTCCTAAAGCTGATAATCAAATATTAATATACTCTCACAATATATGATTTTTGCTCGTTAAACATTATTTTAAATATTATGATAATAGGTAAGTCTAAGTTTTAACAAACACAACATTTATTAATAATAATAATTTTATATTTATATAAAAAAAATGTAAATATTTTAGGTTGATTTTCATTTTGTTAAAGAAAAAAAAATAATGTCAATGTTAGCAAATTACTATTTCTCATTGATTAAAATTATCAAAAAAGTGAACAACTTTTTTAGACTCATCTTATTTAATGATTTTTTTATATATAATTTTATAATTTTTAATAATTTTTATCTGATAATAATTAATATAGTATATGTTAAAAAATGTGTTAGTAGCACTTTTATGTATGTATTATTATTGTCCTCACATCACCA